AAAAAAAAAAAAAAAAAAAAAAAAAAAAAAAAAAAACACCAAGAAAATTTGTTTTCTGTTTTCTGAAGTGTGTGCTTCTGCAACTGGAAAGTGGGTCTTTCCTTTTCTTCTTGTTCTGGCATTGCAGTACTCTCAAGTTATGAATTAAATTAAATGGGAAGATCATGAAGACAGAGGAAAAGTTGCTACTTTTTCTGTCCCCAATGTCTCAACAGTTCTGGGACTTTGGAGGACCATCACTGATGGTCACACATATTTGGAAAATATAGGGCTGTGTATCCAGCTTGGCATCTGGGGAAGCAGTGCTCCGCCGTGGGGCATGCTGCTGCTGTTCTGTGCATGGGCTTCTTGCTTCAGCTGCAGCCTGTGCAGAGGCAAGCATGCTTGTCCACACAGGAAGCCAGGCAGGAAATCACTTGCCACATTTCTCAAAACTGTGTGGTGCAGTCTTTCAAATGGTGCTTGAAGTGCTCGGTTGGTGCTGTTTCTTTTCTGCTATGTCTCTTTTCTCCTGGAAGTGTCCTGTGTTCCTCACCCAAAGTCTCCTGTGCTTTCTGGAGCTGACAGAGTATTAGTGCAGGATGTGCCCCGCCAGCCATTAAAGTGAAAGCAGTCTCACGTGACTGCGTGACAGCTCTGCAGTCAAATTCTGCACACCAGCATGCTGAGTACATAAATCAGAAATGCAACCCATGTCAGAAAGTTCAGATCCTGAACTTGCCCATGGCATTTAGCAGGGTTCACTGGAAGTCTTTGTTGGGTGGTTTTGTTATTTATTTAAATATCTATCCTTATGACAGCAAGCTTACAGACATTCAGTGACTAAGCGTTCATTGTCAATATGCATGAGATTGAGTACACAGAACCTATCTGCTGGCACCATTGCATCTACACTTTCTTGTTATCTTACGGGAAAAAAATAATTTCTGTCTTGGCTTAAAGCAATGAAGTCATCTGATTCTATGTTGTTGTTTCTTTTAATATGTTTTCTTTTAAGCATAAATAAGTTGAGAAATAGGGTGTTTGGTAATAGCTATTTGCCACAATACAGAGGGAGAAATACTGCCCTCCACATCAGGAGAGAATGAGCATCGTGCTGTGACAGCCTCCTTAGTGCTTTCACACCGGGCTCCCGAGAGCTCATTAAGATGGAATTCTTCATTTTCATTAAAAGTTCACATTTACAGCATGGTTTTAAAGGGAGGGGGGGAGGGAGGGAAAGGGGGGAAGAAGTGATATATTTGGAGGAAAACGCGTTTGGAATGCTCCATATGCAGTATTTCTTTGTTCACCAAATAGCTGATGTCAAGCATAAATACTGTTGTTTGCAAAAAAAATTGAGCTTTGTAATGACAAAGCTCTCAGCTTTGCAGAAGACGGTCTCTAGAAAGTTGTTTGCTCCTCTGATGTCCCTGTAATCCCTAAGGTCCTGTGTTTCCCCCTTGGATCTGCTCTCCTCAGTGTGCCCTCCGGTGCAGAGGGACACCTCCACCTCACAGGGCAGCCTCCCAGAGGAGTTTCAGGGAATCATGAGAAAAGCAGCCCGTGAGATGCTTAAATTTAGTGAGATGACCTGCCCAGCTGCCAGCCAGGAGGGAGGTGACCTTACTGCAGCAAGGCCCATGCCATAGGTGCACCCTCAGCGCACACACAGCGACCTGTAGCACAGCACCAAGGCCATGGCCGTCACCTCGTGTTGGGCTGCTCTCCCCCCACCCACCCGGCTCCCGGTTAGTGGTAGCAGTGCCGTGCTGCTTGCTCAGCACTGCAACTTCCTTCCAGCTCTCTGTTAGAGGAAGTGAAACCACTGAGACATATTTTTGCATTCTGAGGTGCCAAAGTAAAATGAAGCGCTTCGGGCAGACGAGAAAGGTGGCTGAGAAGAGCGGCTGATATGGAGAGAGGGAGGAAAGTGTGTCTGCTCCGTGATCATTTCTGACTGCAAAGGGCGTGAGAAAGCATGTGCTACGTTTAGCAGAGGAAATAAGAGTTGTTTTTCCTCGGATAGCGCCGTCCACATTGACAATTGCAGTTCCATTTGCAGAACAAGTAAGTAATGGCTGTTCTTAAGAGGAAGCTTGTGTGCAGGAGTCCTGTGAGCGTTCTGTTTAAACTCAGCTTGACTGAAGTGTTTGGCTGCAAAAGGTGTGCTCGTTCTTTCTGGCAAAGGTGGTGAGGAAAAATGTGCTTAGGGAACAAAAGCAGCCCTCAGGTCTTTTTTGGATTGACTGAGATGCTGAAGTGTGAAACTCATGCATTCTCCCATTAAATTAGAAAACGTGTAATCACACAGGGAAGAAGCAGCTGGCTAGTGCTGTATTGCTCACTGTTTAATAAAGGAGTTGCAGTTATCAAATACTTTCAGTTAAGGTTGGAGAAGAAGTAGGAGTTTGTGTCTGCTTGTCCTGGAGGACGGCCTCCTTTCCCTTCCTGGGTGGAGCCCACCCGATTGCCCAAGCACAAACAGTCAAAAAGAAACTATTTTAGAATTCAAGGATTCTCTGTTTGGCGTCTACAGAGTTTGTTTTCATTAGAAGAAGAGAAGAAAAACAAAAAAAGAAAGCGTTTTCAGACCCTGTGTTTACAAAGTAAACTTTAGGTGTGTGAAATACACGTGAATGGCTGAAGCTGGGCCTGATGGGGATGCAGGAAGGCAGTGTTCTGTCCCTGAGCTGCTACAGGAGGTGCAAATAAGCATAGATTTGATAGTTTTGAAGGTTGAAATGCGTTCTGGGATCTACTGAAATGTTCACAAAAGGATTCCTTAATGAGGTGGCATTACAGAGTGTGGGGGGAAACCATTAACCCATCCTCTGTGGCTGTTTCCCCAGTCAGCATAAGACACGGATGAGCTTATGTGTACGTACTGCATGCACTTACTGCTCTGAAAACCAGCAGCCTCGGACTGCACTCAGAGAATCCCCATACTGACCAGGATTTTTGTTTACATGACGTGTATTACATAAAACATATGTGGGATCTGAAATGCACTGATTACATGAAATGTGAAGGAGGGAGATGTACAGTAGTAAACACGGGGAATTAGCATTTCTAATGCAAAAGCACTGGGAATTGTTGTCACTCATGGTTTCTTATTCCCATTAGTGTCCAGTCATAGCTGCTCCCCTGCAAAATACAGGCAGGAATTTGCCAAAAACAGGGCTGAAAATCAGATAAAAGTTACAGATCATCTAATCGCATAGGGTAGGTTTATTGTCCTAATCAGATACTCCATCAATCCGTATAGAGAAAATACTTTTGAGCAAGTTCTTTTTTTTTTTTTTTTCTTCAGTTTTCTCAATCCTGTAACAATCTAAAAGAGCATAAACCTAAAACAACAGAATACTAGGGACTGACACATCTTTCTGCAGCTGTACTCAGTAAGATTTCATTATTTCTGCTGTAATTACTGAGAAGTAAGATGAATGGGCAGACATGGAAGTACTCCTCAAATAGCATGTGTGTGATGAGGTATTGACTGCATATTTATCTGTTTTTTTCCCTCCCAGTGGCCACGGATGTCTTCAATTCAAAAAGCTTGGCCATTCAGGCCCAGAAGAAGATCCTTGGGAAAATGGTATCCAAGTCAATAGCAACTACTTTGATAGATGATACCAGCAGCGATGTTTTAGATGAGCTCTACAGAGTGACGAAGGAGTACACGCAAAATAAGAAAGAAGCTGAGAAGATCATTAAAAATCTCATCAAAATAGTCCTCAAATTGGCAATTCTCTACAGGAACAATCAGTTTAATCAAGATGAAATTGCACTGATGGAGAAATTCAAGAAGAAAGTTCATCAGCTGGCGAAGACGGTGGTCAGTTTCCATCAGGTGGATTATACCTTTGACAGGAATTTCTTGTCCAAACTGCTGAATGACTGTAGAGAGCTGCTTCATCAGATCATTCAGCGTCACCTGACTGCGAAATCGCACGGACGTGTCAACAACGTGTTCGATCACTTCTCTGATTGTGAATTTCTGGCTGCCTTGTATAATCCCTTTGGACCTTATAAACTTCATTTGCAGAAACTCTGTGATGGTGTCAACAGAATGCTAGATGAGGGGAACATATAAGCCCTTGTGCTAAAGTTGACTGCCCGTGTGTTATCTGTAGACGGAACACTGTTGATTTATGAAGGAATAAGGGAGCATGAAAATGGGGATTTTTTCTATTATATTGTGACAGATATTTCAAAATAATCTTTGTTAAACTGATTACTTCTTATGAGCTATCTATTGCTATTTGCAGTCCATCTGGAAGAAAGATGGCACGTTACCTTCTTTTACTGTGCTTTGCCTGTGGGAACAGCTGGATAAAGAGAATAGAATAGAATAGAAAGGTCCAAATAGACAACAGGTCTTGCAAGACAGATACAGAAAACAAACTAGCTTGCTGTCAGACAATCCAGATATTTACATATGTATTTATAAACCATCAGAGTCCAGTAATGCTGGTAACATGGTGTTGTGGTACACTCTATAATTTCTTCAACTTATTTGTAACATTTATATCTGATTCAGTTGTATTCTTTAATGCAATCTGCACAGATCACGGCTTCCTAGTTTGCTCTTGCAAAATATTCAGTTTTGCATAACACCAGTGATGCTGTCACAGCGTCTGAACTGGTTGGTGTATCTGCAGCTCAGTAATGTCTGAAAGGCAATCAGGTGATTCCTGCAGATGTACCCAGATGCTTTGTTTCCTTTGATTGTTTCAGGAACAATAAGCTACAGTGAAGTAGCCTGAGTGGGGGAAAACTATGCGCTAGACAAAACCTGCAGTACAGGCATGTGAAACTGTAAGGTGAAACACAGTGATTTACTTTTGCAATTCCTTAAGATTGTTAGAATCCTGCTAGTGTGGCATAATTCTTTCAGCAGAGGTGCAGGTCAGCTTATTTTATGCATCGGGCTTATGTACATTCACAAATCTTAATGATCTGAAAAATAAATTCCAAGCCAGTTTGCTTTGTTTACAGTGTATCTAGAAACAAATCATTTTGTGGTTGGATGCTCTTGAACTACTGGAGGAGTGACATCTTGAATCAATTTCTACTCTCACCTCCCCTCCTACCTTTCATTCTTCCTCTTCCTCCCTCATCTTCTCCCTGCCTGGCCCTTGGGGTAAATAAATGTGACTTTCTGTACACTGTAATGTACTTAAAAGTATGAAGTTAATACATTTCAAACACCTGAAGACTTTTGTTAGGAAGCATATAAAGAATTTGCATTTTATTTAATTGCCAGTTTTTTGCTGTTTGCTGTGTCTTTTTGTTTTAATGAGTAAACCAAAGAATATTTGCACTCTGAACTTTTCATGTTTTTTTTTTTCCCTCCTGTTGCAATTTGAATTACAAAGAAAGTACTCGAAGTGTGCAGGCAACCAGAACATTGCAGTTTCTGACATATTGCTTCAGCATCACTTGTCAATTTTCAGAATGCAGAGTTAACTTTAAATCCTATCCACTCCGTCACTAGGCTTTGAATATCCCCAGAAAGGCACTAGAGATTTGCCAGAGAAATGTGCGTTCAGAACACAAACTCCTTCTGTACAAGTCATTAGAATACAAAAGGGAGAGCTGATTAATATACCGCACTGCTTGGCTGGAGTAACGTGGAAATGATGTAAGAATGGTGCCTCAAAGTTTGAGAAGAGTTAGATTACTTGTTTGACATCTGAGTGTCAGTTAAGGTCTGTCCCTCCTGTTTTACTGAAGTGGTAAACACATTGCACGTTAGCCTACCAGAAGTCCTACCTCAGTAGGGCTACAACATCATAAGGAAATACGATACTGAATTTCCAAAGACTTGCTTTCATAAATAGCATGGCATAGCACTTAAGCTGATCTGTTTTGCAGTCCTTTTATTTTTCCTGCAGTATAAATAAATAATGACTTTAAGTATCAAAACTCAGAGATAACTTGATAGCAGTTTTCCTAGTCACACACTTGATGTCCTTGCGTCAACCCTCTAGCACAGATTTGGTACATTCCACATCTGGCTGGGCTTAAAAAAGAAGAGCTTCCAGTAGTGCTGTTTGATTATAGATAGAATAATGTCATTATCATGTGCAGTAAAATTGATCCATCACTTCTAATAGTGATTTGCCAAGAATCATCAAACTATTGTTCCTTCAGCCAACACAGATTAAAAAGAGACGGGATGGTTACTGTGCCCATTTTATGTGTGTCATCTTAACAGTGATTCATGAGAACTTCTGATTGTCCCTTTACCATGTTTGTAAAGCACGTGTGTGGATGCAGAAGATACGATTAGGCATGATGAGGGAATTACTCTCTGGAGATTTTTCTCCATTTGGAAAGGACAGAAGTTATCAGCAGGAGTCTGGAAGCTTTTGGGAAGTGTTTGTGTTTAGGAAAATGACAAATCGTGTCTCTTCTAAAATAAGATTCAGCCCCTCCCTTAAATTCCTATAGAATAAAAAGGTGAAGAGATGGCCAATTGTTTTTTCTCATCTCCCCCTAGAAATGGATTGCACTGTCCCAAGAAAAGAGTGGTCTCATTTTAATGCCAGTTTGATGGAGCTGCTTTCCAGCACTGGTAGTTATCACTATTCCAGTTGCAGTGTGACTTGAAAGGTAAGCTGGACCCGTGCGTGTAACCCCTCAAGAAACTGGAACGTGTTTGTTTTCATGGTCATATATTTGTAACTCCATCACAGTTAAAGATGACAGTGTTAGGAAAAAGAGGGAAGTCACACACTCCATGCTTAGGTGATCACACACTGATGAACATTCATCATGCACTGACCTACTGCCATAGCTTTGCTTTACATTGTTATTCTGACTACTAGGAAACAGGAGTACCTGCTTTTCAGCCATGTCTAATTATCTGTTTCCTCCTTGTTCATTTTGTCCCTATTATATTATGTATACATCTAAGGGGAACGTTAGATGGAAGTGATTACACGCTTAATGCAAAAAGCAGGCCTAAATAGTGGTTTCCTTCTCAAAGTAATTTGAAAATCTGTAAGAGCAATCTAACTCTCAATTTAGCAATTTCTGTTTTTTATATAATTCGTGCTTTCACCATTACCCACTATTTCTGGTGAGTTTGGAAAATGCAGGGAATGAAATACGTCTTCTAACAGCCCATAATTTTCTGCTTGCTCTCACTGCACCCCAGTTTCTCGAGAAGTGTCTCTTCTGGCATTTACTCCTGTTAAGGAGCAAACTGAAAAGAGGCAGCTCGTACCTTCGAGGTGTCCCACAGTCGTGCAGTGCCAAGCAAAGAAGCAGACTGTAGCAATTAAGAATAATAGAGTCGAGGAGTAAGTTATTTGCCCAGTTTTCCCAAGCAACCACAATCTGTTTGCTGTTTGTTGTTCTCCCCTGTGGGAACATCATGCTGCTGTAGGTGGAGGACAGAGGTGGAGCTTCCTACAGCTGCTGTGAGATATAAATTACCGTTACCATCACACATAAGATGTTCCACTTTCTAGGTTAAGAATCCTAGTGCTGGATTTTAAGATTGTGTTTCCTGCTGGCTTCAGGACAAAGCATTTCCCGTTTTGATTTGAATTAAATATTTGGATTTAGAAAGTGCTTTTATTTTGCACGTAAGTATGAGCTGAAATAAAGGAAAAGAAAGCAGCCCTCTATAATGCATTTGTTCCAAGAATTTTTATTTTTTTTTTAATGGGCATTTTGTGATCTGCCAAGACATTTTTGGGCAGTTGCAATTCTGAAGGTTGTGATACATGCAAATTGTTCTGAGAGAAGACTGCTGGCTTTTCACCCACTTGTCCTCCAGTTCCTGTTGGCAGCCCCACTCACTGTAAGCACAGTAATTTAGAGCTCATTTGCAGCAGCCTTTCTGCAGTATTTTGTATCAAGTTTTTCAGAGTTTATCTTTGATTCTTCTGGCCATGCCACAGCCAGTAGTGGATGAGGAATCTTGTTACGTTTGCACTGTGTGAAGTTTTTAAATACAGAATTATGATGTTAGAAATCAGCCCATATTACAACACCAGTGCCTCTGTCCCCCACCAAGGGAATGGCAGCAGACTTATTCTACGCATTTTGAAATAGTGCTGAAAAACTGCTTGGCCTTTGTGAGTAGAATTTAGTCTCCCTTCATCTGATGAATCAGTTTCTGTATCTGGGATTGGCTCAAGTCCTGAGGAGAATGTTTCCTGGCTGTTGGTATTGCAGTGTTAAATTAAGTGTTAAATTAGGTGTTCTTATGATGTGAAGAGACACAGATTCCCCAGTACAGAGGTGCTTAGTTGATGCTCTCAGTTTACTTCACTGTCTGGATTTGAGATACTGTGGCTTTCTTTGTTTGAGGGTTGTTTTTATTTTATAGAGTCAGTGTCTATATTATGTCTTATCTGCTAGACCTTCAGAGAGACTGCAGAAGTAGAGCAGACTGAGGCAGTGATTTGAGCCAGGGGAAGTGCTTTGGTCCTGGGACATGGTGTGAAATTAGCTGCTCATTTCAAGCAAGCTGGTTCTGCATCTCAAGGATCTTGATAATTCAACAACGGCGAAATGATCTCATTCTTGGAACTAAAGGGAATCTGCCCAACTCAAAAGCTATCTGCATCAATCATAAACTGCTTCTATTTCAATGGTACGGACACTCCCAAAGGTACGTTGGCTGTGCCATCAAAAGAGAAACTATTAGGGAAAAGGGGAAAGGAAAGCTCAGCACTTTCATGGGAGAAAGGGCTGTGATCAGACACCAAGATTTCATTAACTTTGCCTTGCTTTCTTCACTGCGATAAGGTCTGCCTACAGTAAGCATCTGTCTTTGTCTGGGTGAGTAAGACAATATGTTTGATCTTGCAGTTCCAGTACCCTATGGCACTGCAATCTACATTTTACCCCAAAGCTGAAACAGGAAAGAAAGCCCTTTACAAAATGTTACTGATGAGAAGTAGTTTCTGCTTCTTTTAGAACTCTGGTTGGGGAATTAGGATATCCCACTTCACTTCTGATTGATTAACAAAGCAAGGGCTGAGGAGGAGTAATGTCTTCTGAAGGACAAGGCATTTATGTAACTACTAACTTAACTCCACCTGCCCATCCTGCTTCTCAATTAATCAACTGTTCCATACTTCATTTAATTGTAACTAAAACTGCTCTTCAGGCTGGGGAGGAATCCTCATTACAAAATACATTTGATCTAAGCTGGGGCTGCTCAGATTTCATGTACCTTTTTGGGGTGGTTGAGGTGGAAGCTGGTGGATTGGGTATTTCTGAGAAACACATGGAAGTCTGCCACAGCTGGAGATTAGACATTTATTTGTGCAGTGTGCACATACACACACACACAAAAACCCCAAAACCCTGCTGTAATAACATCAGAAACAAGAACCCTGGAATGTGCTTGGAGGCATCTTGAGGAAAGAGCTAATTTTTGGAGGCACAGCTTGAGAACAGTTTATCTTTCGTACTGATTTTCTGTTCAGTAGAGTATCTGCTTGGGCTTATCCTAACAACAGAACCTCTTGGAAGTTTTTGTCCCAGAGCTCAATTTGGCCATTAATTCAGGAAGCAACTGCTCTGAATCAGTTTTCTCAGGAGGAATTTCAACTCTTCCATCTATTCTATATAAGTAAATCTATATCTATATAGATTTATATATCTATGTATATCTATATCCATCTGTATAAGTAAAAGATTTATCTCACAAAATTACAGAACTTGCTGGGAGGTTCTAGCAGGGCAGCACAGTTACTGTATGCTGTTGACTGATGAATGTGCATCTCTATCAGGGAATTCATTCTCTCTGACCCAGTGCACAGCTCTGGGAGGGTTTTATAAAGCAGTGAGGGAAGAAAGGGACACCCACCCAACCAGCCAGATCAGACAAATACACCCTGGCCATCAGTGAGATTATGGATTTCACAATAGACCACCCCCACATCTCAGAATCTGTGGGATCTCTTTACCCATAACTTTGTAGTAAAGCCAACACGCAGCAGATTTTCAGAGAATGCTGCACATGGTTATTTGCTTGTCTCTTTAGCTCTTATTTTAGTCCATGTGTTTTTCATTGTCTCCCTTTTCTTTCCTTTAAGGAGATCGATGTATTTCCAAGGAAGAAACATTTAGAGTGAAATTTAGGGCTGTGCTATAGCAGCAACCTTTTGTTGGCATCTCCCCAGCATATATTTTCAAAGCTACGAATTTGCACATGCAACAAGTTTCTGCTTAATGAGTTCATTATAGCAACGCGTTACTACATACAAGCTCAGCAATCCACCAACCTCTGACTGACTCTGGGCTTCGGGCTTCTTTAAACCTTGAGTCTCTCATGGAATCAAGTGCTCTGCCTCCACTC